TACTTTGTTCTTACTGTGTTACTTTGAGGGTCAGTTATGAATGCATTGGAAAATAATCTCCTGGAATTCTCATCTCTGTGTCTGATTACTTTTTCTTTATAACGTGAGCTACTTAGGCTTAACCAGAAGGAAGTCATGAAAAGCAAAGCCTCACTCCTCCTCTGTGGTGAAGATGTCGAAGCAGCCATGGGTGAGCAGGTGGTCCAGCGTCTTCAGCAGCGGCACGGACACCCTGAGGGGAGAAGGAGCGATGAGACCCCAGACACCAGCACCAGCGAAGATGCCCATCTCCCTGACTGGCTGAGTCAGCACAATCCCAGTGGAAATCCTGGCACCGCTGTGGAAACTGACAATCCCCTTTATAGTTTACATGGAAACACAAAGCTTCCAGGAAGACAAAACACCTGTGGGAGGAATGAGCAAGGCTGAAGGCCGACACTGAACCTGGAGGACGGCGGGGCTGAGGGGATCGAGGCAGCACAGCCCTGGGGCAGAGTAAAGCAGACGCAGCGGGCACAGCAGAGTCCAAAACGAACCCAGTTTCTTACAAAGCTGCGGCAGCAACCCTCTCAGCGATGAGCACAGCTGGGCATCAAGATGCCATGCCCACGCTATACCACCTAGGAAACCTCACTCAAGACTCACCCAGGTCTAAATACACAACCCAAAACTATGCAACTTCTAGGACTGAACAGAAAATCTCGGTGACCACAGATTAGGCAAGCTTTCTTAGACATACCAGAAAAATCGGTGCCTCAGAGCAAAGGCGTCTCTCAGGGACTCGAGAAAATGTGAAGCCCCCACTCGGTGCGTGAAGAGACAGGCAGGGAGAAACACCCTCAAGTCACGTGTGTGATGAGGGAGGATCAGACTGCAACAGTTGGGGAACAGAAAAAAATAAAGACCCCTCTCCAAAGAGGATATAAAATGGCCACGTGCCAGTGGGAGTGTGACCTCAGACAACAGTGGGAAGGCACGACACGCAGGCTCCATAAACCCTCCACAGCTTCCCGAAGCTACACATTCGCCTCCGTGTGAGCTGGCCTGCAACGCCCAGCGTTCACCCCACGGAAAAGGAGCCTGGGGAGGTCCCTTTGGACGCCGGGAGCATCTGGAGAGCTTCAGCACAGGCCAAGTGGCACACAGGAGAGCTGCCGTGCACACTGTCTGCCTGCAGCTCCACCAGTGACAGCCCCACGGCGGGAAAGGCCGACATGCCCACACACAGACGGACCGTCTGGCACTGACACCGCAGACACGACTCGTCAACAGGAGGGATGAGCGACCGGCACACAGCCCAGACGCCCGGAGTGACCACGTGCCGAGGCTATGGTGATGCAGGTCAGGGGGATGGACTAGAAGGGCCAGGAGGAAACCTGGGGCTGAAGGATGTGCCCACCTCGTGACTAGGGAAGAGTGTGAGGGTGGACATGTGTAAAATCGGTCAGACTGCCCCTTACGTGCAGCTAATTGTAGTCATAATGAGAAAACCTACCACGGCTGCGCTGAGTTCCTGTTTGCTGAGAGCGGCATCTGTGCTTCCTAGTGGAGAGGCTGCCAAGGCCCTGCCCGAGGGGACGCCAAGGCCCATGTCCTCATCCTCACACGACAGAACAGCCCTTCCAGAGGGTGATGCGGGAACATTCTCAATTCTGAGGTGAAGGCCCACAGGGCCTATACTCTGCCTCCATGTAAAAGCAGAAGCTTCTAGAAAGGAGCTGTGTTTCTCACGTGACATTCCATCCTCGGAGTGCAGCACTCTCACTCACTGGGTGGCTGATGCGTGCCCGAAAGCACGTCCCCAGGGGCACCAAGCCAGAGAAGCCTCCAGGACGCCTTCCTACACACAGTGACCACTTTCTCCTTTCTGTTACCTTTACTTCCAGCGTACACAAAATGGTCATTTCCCTGCCCAGCATGCAGGCTGGGAGAGGAGGTGCAGGGGCTGAGGCCCATCCCCACTTGCTGAGCCGTGCTCCTTGCCACTAACTGGTAAAGCCTATGTCTCACTTCTCCCATCAGACCCAGAGAGACCCTGCAAGACCCTGAGGACCTATGGAAACGTGGTGAGAGGTGCCAGCACCACCCACACCTCCAAGGCCGCGTGAGACACCATTCACCTGTCCTTCAGAAGGTTGTCCTCAAAGATCTGCAGAAGGGTCCCGCCGAAGCTGCCCAGGGCCTGTGGGTCGCTCTGAATTCCCCTCATGTACTCAAAGAGGCTCTGGGTGGAGTGCCGAATCTGCAAACACAGACACTTTATAAGGCAGAGGGACCCCCGAGCCCCCCACCCCTCAGTGCCGGATCTGCAACAAGAGACACCTCATAAGGCCATGGGACCCCCGAGCCCGCCACCCATCAGGCTTGACCCCAGCCACTCAAGCTGGCACGCAGTGGCCAGTGTGGACGCCAGCATGGAGCCACCCACAGTACAGACACCCAATGCAGACGCCTGGCTCTCGGCGGCGGCAACACAGCCTGAACCCTCACTCAGGATGTGGGGTGGCGCACATCCCTGACGAAAGGCTGCAGCTGCTTGCCTTAGTTTCTCTCACGTATCCCCTAAAGTGGGATCTGGTCACCCCCGCTACTCCCCTGTGTGTGGAATGTCTCGGGGCCCCACTCGCCCGTGGCTTGGGTCTCCCTGTATGTCCGCATGGCACAGAGGACACCTGATGTGCTGTTACATGTTTCCCAGGACAAAGCAGCTGCCACAGGCTTGCCACAATGAGCAGGTGCAGGGGCCACGAGTGACAAGATGCAGGGGCCCTGGAGTTCCACAGCTCAGCCACGGATCCCTGAGGCTCCAGAGAACCTCCCCACAGACATGGGAGGCGGACCTGGCGCCCTGAAGTGGAGGCTGGAGGCAGATCTAGAACCCGACGGAGCCCAGGTAACCGCATGTAAGCGTCAGACACAGGTGCTGGAGGGCCAAACCCCGAGGGGACGCTGGGGGATCCAGGGCTGCAGCCACAGGAACAGAGCGGCGCCAGCCCACTTCAGAGTTTGTGGCTGAGCCTGACTCAACGTGCTGCTCCCCCGTCACCAGACTTGACCACCCTGCAGGCCCTCAGCCTCCCAGGTCATGAGGAAGACACTGGGCCCCTGACCCCCCAGCAAATACGCCCCAGAGAAATAGAAAGCAATGGCAGACAGAGCCCAGCCCCACACACGCTCCCAAGAGAGAAGGAAGCACCAGGCACCCCAGGAGCTGCCGCCTCCCCACCAGCCAGCCAACGCCTCCTCACCGTCGACTCCGTCAAGCTGCCCACGGACACAACCAGCCCCAGCAGGACGTGGTAGCGGTAGGTAGGCAGCCCGAGGAGCTGGGTGATGCGTGGGAAGGCCTGGGAAGCTGCACTCCAGTTCACGGAGGCCACGCTGGACCTGCAAGAGAGCAAGTGGGATGAGGCCGGGCTGCCGATGACCTTGCCGTGGCTGCAGGTCTGGCGTGGGAGGGCCTGTGCCCCAGCAGTACCTGGGAAACAGCTTTTCCAGTTCTCCCCGGTGGGGCACGTGGGGGATGGGAGGGCTGTCAAAGTGCAGGAGTGTCAGGAACACACTGGTGGCGTGAGCACGGAACCCATCAATCTTCTCACTTGCCTGCTGGGCCACACAGCACATGATGCGCTCACAGCTGCAGACCAAGAGCAGGAGGTAAACCGAGGGCGAGAGGTAAACTAAGAGCAGCAGGTAAACCAAGGGCAGGCAGTAAACCGAGACCCACAGTGAGTGGGATCCCCACAACCTGGTGCCCACAACAGAGACCCACAGCAAGGGCAGGATCCAATGGCAGCCTCAGTTGCAGGGAACTGAACAATGGCTCAGCTGGTCCTGGCAGGAGCAGACCCTCAGGTTCAGGGCCCTAAGCTGAGAAGCCCCCACCTCTCACCCAGCTTCAGCCCCAAAAGCTGGCTGTCATCAAACTGGCCCAAGTACTGTGGGAGAAACCGGCTGGGGGGCAGAGCCTTATCCTAGGGGCACTGGGCAGAGGAGAAGGGGCCCCAGCTCAAGCCACAGCCATGGGGGCGGGAGGAGGGGCCTGCACAAACCTGGGGTTAGGGGCGCGAGAGGCTCTCTGGGAGGAGGGTATGTGCTGGGCAGTGCAAGCCCCACTAAGCACCAGGACCACCTGCCTCACCAGCCTCCCCAGGCTCGGGGCTGCCCTCCAGGGCGCAGAAGAGCTGCAGCAACACTCACGTGTGGGCCTCAATCAGCTCAGGCTGGCTCCGAGCCAGGAGAAGCGTCAGATCCATCAGACTGGTCATGGCGGCCTTACGGACCCTGATAAGACAAGGAGAGGCAGATGCACCCAGCTGGAGAGGGGGTTCCTGACCCTGGTTCTGCCAACCACGCTGGCAGGCTGTGTGAATCCAATGCCCGTGACTAACCCCCAGGCATGACTCTTCACTGCCAGAGAGAAAAGTCATGGGGCCTGCAGAGGTGCCCTCTGTGCTACAGAAACATGTGCAGGAAGGGAGACCCACAGTCACACACACCGGGGCCTCGAAGTGTCCTACACACACAGGAGTTTTGGGGATTATCAATCCCACTTCAGCAGGAAATGTCGGCAAAGCCCAGGGTAAGCAGCCAGCAGCCTCTCCCTGAAGACGCGTCTTCCCTTACACCCTGTCAACAAGGAGGATGTGGGCCCAACACCTGAGGACAGACTGGACCAGCCCCTGCAAAGCCCTGCCACACAGGCTCACCCGGAAGCAGGGAACAGGTCATCTTCCCATGAGCCTTTGAAATGCCAAATACAGCACTCTATAAAGACTTCTCCCTGCAGAAAAGTCCAGGGCCTCGAGTTTCCATGAAACCAGCAGGCTCCTCAGAGGAATTGCTACTACCCACAGCTGCCCACGCACCAGCTGCCCACGTCCCCTCTGCTGTCCTTGGTGTAGTCGTCCATGCAGCCCAGCAGCGCAGAGTAAATCTGGGAAACGTTCTCTCTGCACACGGCTTCATCTGGGGCTCCTGCTTTCACACCGACAGTCTGGCAAATCCTGAAATTAAACATGTGTGAGATAACAAACATCTGTGAACCTCATGTCCACATCACGGCGGTCTGACATGTGTTCCTGAGATGACACGCTCAGAACAGTGCAGGACCCTCGGGGATAGATCGGAAATCCAGAGCTCCTTCCACATACAGGGCAGGCGACATGCTTCCCGAGGTCACGCTCTACCGTCTCTCCGGATGAAAGGTGGATACGGACCCTCCTATGGCTGTTCCCTCCCACTTCCCCCCACCCCTAAGTTCAGGCTCTGCCATCTGGATGGGGATGCTCCTGTGGCTGGTCCCTCTCTGGATGAAAGGTGGATGGGGATGCCGCCCCCTGTGGCTGGTCCCTCCCACTTCTCCCCCTGACTAGAGGGCACGGGTGCTGGCACAGGAGAGAAGAGGGCGTGTGTGGCCCCGTGGGGCTGGCCCTCTCATGTGCCTGCAGGGCAGAGTGAGCATAAGGCACAGCCCCGGCTGCGTGTCTGTCAACAGGAGTGAAGACCATTTCAACTGCTGGCGGGCAGCCTTGAGCCAAGACACACTCTCCAATTCTCAAAGGGGACCACGGTTCCTAAAGAAACTGAACATCCACTACGACTATGACAGCAAGAGGCTGTGTGAGCCTCCAGGAGCTGGGACTGAGATCCGCTGGCAGAGAGGAAGCTTAGGAGGTGAGGAATCCTAAAGTCTGCCTCTGAACAAACCATCCCCGTTAGCGTCCATCTGCTGGCCTTTGAGAGACTCAGGACCTAACGGAGGAACTGCCCAACTCACCCAGCAATGGCCTTCAAGCCATCTCTTCTGGATTCAGCGAAGCTTACATCCTCGGGAGAAGTGTGGGTAACTGCTCTTAGACCTGTGAGAACCTGGAAAGCAATAAAAAATCACAGAAGAGCCATGCACTGTAACCAAGTGCACTATTCAGTGAGGAGGCAATGCTGGCCCAGGGCCACAGACCCCGCACCACACCACGGCAGCACCTGCCACCACCTTCCTCATGGTGCCTCCCATGTCCCACAGTGCAGCCCAGGAAGGACACTGAGGGAGGTGTCACCTCCAGCCGCTCCATGGCCCCCTTTACATCGCAGAACGACACCCAGGGAGGGGTCACCTCCAGCCGCTCCGCAGCCCTCGCCCCAGAGCGTCACTGGGGTGTTTCTGCACCCTGGCTGAGGTCCCCCTCTTGTTCTATGCTGAGACCTGGGGTATGGGATGAAGGAAGCTGCTGGCTCCCGGCAGCCTCATCTGTCACTTCTCCAAGTGATCATGTTTCACATTTATCAGAGTTTCAACCAGATAAACCCCCAACTCATGTTTTAGATGGCATGGTGGCTTTGAGGCCCAGTCTGTCTGGAGCTGCAAATCCTGTGGTGGGGGGCTGGGTCCC